CTTTCTAAAATCTGGCTTAGTTCTCATCCAGGAAAGTATGGGAGGATAAGAAAGTAGTAGATAGGGACCAGCAGATAGTGTAATTGTTATATTGCTAGACTCCCACATGGCCAACCACAGTTCAAGTCCCAGACCCAGCGACTTGTTTTGTTTTGGAGAGATTTTTTTTTTTTTTTTTTTTTTTTTTTTTTTTGGTCTAAGGTTAGGGTGTGTGTGCTCACCAGAAAGACAGAGAGAGACAGAGAGACAGAGGAACAGAAAGCAAGAAATCACCCTCCAGGGGAGTGGCCATGTCACAATCCCTTCTCCTCTATTCTCCTCTCAAGATCTTAGTCACACAAGTACACCCACCCAGCATGAGTTTAAGCCACCAGGTCCAGGATTCAAACCACAGTCGACTACATGGGAGTCCAGTGATATAGCCATTACGCCATCTGCTGGTCCTAAGATCGAGCAACTTGAAACTCATGCCAGATGCATATGCATGCATGCCCAAAATCCCCAGAAGAGAATGGAGGAGAAAGAATTGTATCGTGGCCATCCCCCCTGGTGGGTAATTTCTTGCTTTCTGTCTCTCTATCTCCCCCTATGTCTCTGGAAAGTGTACACACCCTATAGCAAAAATCTCTCTCAAGGAAAGAAAAAGAGAAAGAAAGAAAGAAAGAAAGGAAGGAAGGAAGGAAGGAAGGAAGGAAGGAAGGAAGGAAGGAAGGAAGGAAGGAAGGAAGGAAGGAAGGAAGGAAGGAAGGAAGGAAGGAAGGAAGGAAGGAAGGAAGGAAGGAAGGAAGGAAGGAGGAAAGCAAGCAAGCAAGCAGATAAAATTTACCACAAGTCCCACTTTACACAAGTTTGGTTAAGAGAAATAGTTCTATAATGTATCATAATACAAAGAAAACCAATTTTATGTATACATAAATCCCAGTAATTTATCTTTACTTAAGTCATACTCTTTAGTTCAGGAGTTAGTGAACCTTTTACAATGTTTGTTTTGATTATGGTGACCTTTATTCAGGTTTTATTGAAGACCTACTAGATGCTGCCACTGCACTGGAAGAGACTAGATAGTGTCCCCTCTATAGTGATAGCTTAGATTTCCATGATACTTTCAATGTTCAAAGTGATCTTTCGTCTTAGATCTCAGTACCATGCCCTGGGGAGACTACTCTCTTTGGAGTTATTATTTATGGAACTCTTACATACAGTTATTGTGGTTGAATATAAAGAATCCCTCCTGCCCCAGATCCACAGCTTCATACTGTCCTTATGCCTGTGTCTTTGTCTCAGTCTATTCAGGCTGCTATAACAAAATTACCTTAGACTGGGTAACACGTAGACAATAGAGATTCGATGCACATAGTTCTGGAAGCTGGGAAGTCCAAGATCAAGGCACCACCCAGCAAAGTCATTGTCTGATGAGGCTCAATCTTGGCTTCCAAGAAGAAGTGACACCATGTCCTCAAATGGATGAAGGGAAAAGGGAGCTCTCTGGAGCCTCTGTTATAAGGGCAGTCACCCTTTCATGAAGATGGAGGTCTTGAGACTTAATCATTTCCCCAGAAAGTCACCTCTTAACACTATGATACTGGGTGCTAGGTTCTAAAAGTGTAAGAATTTGAGGGGGACACCAACAGTCAGACCATAGCAGTCCCTGAGTGCCAGTACTACATGAAACATTGTACTTAGATTCCTCGTTGACCAGCAAGAATGGGAATATGGAGGAAGTCCTTTAGTAACTCCTTCTTTTTAGGGGATCTCTTTTTAATGGCATTCAACAGCCAATAGAATCAAATAACCTTTTTCCAAAATAATATTAACAAAGAACGTCTGCTGTGTTTTCGCCAATGTCTTACTGTTTCTCTTGTGGCCACCCTAACTTGAAGAAACCAACATTGCTTCTCTTGATTTAGTGGTCTGGTTTTAATTTCCACGACTGTAGCTAATAGGCAGTCCCTAACTGAGACCCCAAATTTCCCAAATTTGAGATGAGTATTCTATATAATTACTCACTGCTTTTTATCGAGAAACTTTCATATTCTCATTAATTATCTAGTTATAGGTGGCTATCTATTGAAGTTTTTGTTTTCCACCAAATTACTAAATTTGGCTTCCGTTTTTATTAGAGACTATGACTATATTAAAAGGTTATTTGTACTGCCTGGAAGAATAATGAACCATGCCTCTTTGGTTTTTTGAAGTATTTTTCTTTTTCTTTTTTAAATTATTTTATTTAACTTTATTTATTATTATTATCATTATTATTTTCCAGTTTGATCAGAGAGACACACAGAGAGAGAGAGGAAGTGAGAAAGCAAGCCACCAGGTCCAAGACTTGAACCGTGGTCGGCCATGTGGAAGTCCAGCGCCTTTTACCACCATGCCACTTGCCGGCCCCAAAGTATTTTATTTTTCAGCATACAATTATAGAGTTTTAGAGTGAGAACAATGTGAAAGGTCAGTTCAAACCTATTATTTTACACGTAAGAAATGGAAGGCACAACTACAGTGAACATTTAGATTATATTTCAATGTTCACCTAATTCGTAGTTGCTATTTTAAAATGTTAATAGAATCAAAAAGATCAGTCCTTTCACTTTGTCAGAAGTGGGCCTCCCATGTTGCTTCCGGTCACTCAAGTGGTGGTGCTAGCTCACCATGCCTGAGCCAACATTGTTTTCACTTTCAGTTCTACCTGAAAGTAAGTTATTGCTCCAACAACCAACAGCTTCCCAAAAATTTTAGATGCTTCATGTTTAAAGCAATTAATTGATTTTTTGAAAAGTTGATGTATTTAGGGCTGGCCCCATACAAAAAGCACAGCAGTTAAGCCTCCCACATAGAGAGTCAAAAACCACATAGATGACTGCAGTTCAAAGCCTGGCCCGTGGCAGCTTGAAAAACACATGAAGTATATGTGCATGCATTCCCAAAAATCCTGGCAGAATGGACAAATGGAGGAAAAAGGATGGTGTCAGGATCATGCTCCATTGAGGGGCTCTCTCTCTCTCTCTCTCTCTCTCTCTCACACACACACACACACACGTGAGTACATGCTTGCTCTGGCAATTAAATAAATAAATAATAAAATGGACATTTAAAAATATTGGTAATATCTTAATAAACAATAAACTTTTCTCAGGACAAGTGGGTGGTGTGGTGGTTAAGGTGCTGGACTCCCACATGGCTGACTGCAGTTCAAGTCCTGGACCTGGTGGCTTGCTTCCTCTCTCTTTCTCTCTGGTGAGTGCATGTGCTCTGGCGCTGGACTCACATGGCTGACTAGTTCGCGTCCGGGACCTGGTGACTTGCACTCTCTCTCTATCTGCTGAGCACATGTGCTCTGTAGAAAATTTAAAATAACAATAATAATAATAAAAATAACTTTTTTTAAGAGAGATTTTTGCTATAGGGCACATGTGCTCACCGGAGAGACAAAGAGAGACAGAAATCAAGAAATTACCCTCCGGGCAGATGGCCACACCACAACCTTCTCCTCCATTCTCTTCTTCAGATTTCGGGCACACACGCACATGTGCCTGGCGTGAATTTTAATCTGCCAGGGCCAGACCTTGGACTGCAGTCGACTACATGGGAGTCCAGTGATGTAACCATTACACCATCCACTCGTCCCTTAAATTAATTTTTTTTTCTTAAAATGAAGACTACTTTTCTCCATCAGTTTTTGCTGTGTAACTAAGCTAAATCCCCAAAGTTTTACCTGCTCACACAACAACTTACAAACCTCCTGTGCTGGCTAAGGGCGATGCCAATGATTACATATCTTGAGTATATTATAGAAATAGGAAGGTTTCAAGAAATGTGATGTGCAGTAAAGAGAAGGGCTTTTAGGATGGTTTCAAGAAGTTGAAAATAGTCCAAAACAAATGACCATAACAAGAACATATATTAAGGAAATGAAAATTACTCTTGAAAAAGTTATAGCTATTCAAAAGTCCCAATTTATCTAGAATTTTAAGTTAATTTTGTGTTTGCTTTATAACAGATATGCCAAATTGGAAGATATAGACAATTGGGTCACTGTGGATTCTGTCACATCTGAAATTAGACTTGCAAAGACACCTGATTTTGAATCTAGATATGTCCAGAATGGTACATACACTGTAAAGATTTTGGCTATATCAGAAGGTAAGTTATTAAACAGACATCTTTGGGCCATCAGGTGGTGTGGAGGTTAAAGCAGCTGGCTGACTCTGTAGTTTGAATCCTGGAGCCGGCACCTTGAAAATCATGCCAGGCATCTGTGTGTGCATGCCCAAATTCCTGAGAGGAATAGTGATTGCAGCATGGAGGGATGTGATTTCTCACTTACTCCCTCTCTATCTCTGTCTCTTTCTGGTGAGCACACATGGCCTATAGCAAAAATATAGATAGACAGATATTTTTCTTTCCTTTTTTAAGTGTTGTTTTGCCTAAGGGCACATGTGCTCACTAGAGAGAGAGAGAGACCGACACAGTGAGAGAGAAAGTGGGAAATCACCCTCAAGTGTAATGGCCACGCCACAATCTCTTCTCCTCCATTCTCTTCCCGAGATCTTAGTCCTGGACCTGGTGGCTTGCTTCCTCTCTCTTTCTCTCTGGTGAGTGCATGTGCTCTGGCGCTGGACTCACATGGCTGACTAGTTCGCGTCCGGGACCTGGTGACTTGCACTCTCTCTCTATCTGCTGAGCACATGTGCTCTGTAGAAAATTTAAAATAACAATAATAATAATAAAATTAACTTTTTTTAAGAGAGATTTTTGCTATAGGGCACATGTGCTCACCGGAGAGACAAAGAGAGACAGAAATCAAGAAATTACCCTCCGGGCAGATGGCCACACCACAACCTTCTCCTCCATTCTCTTCTTCAGATTTCGGGCACACACGCACATGTGCCTGGCGTGAATTTTAATCTGCCAGGGCCAGACCTTGGACTGCAGTCGACTACATGGGAGTCCAGTGATGTAACCATTACACCATCCACTCGTCCCTTAAATTAATTTTTTTTTCTTAAAATGAAGACTACTTTTCTCCATCAGTTTTTGCTGTGTAACTAAGCTAAATCCCCAAAGTTTTACCTGCTCACACAACAACTTACAAACCTCCTGTGCTGGCTAAGGGCGATGCCAATGATTACATATCTTGAGTATATTATAGAAATAGGAAGGTTTCAAGAAATGTGATGTGCAGTAAAGAGAAGGGCTTTTAGGATGGTTTCAAGAAGTTGAAAATAGTCCAAAACAAATGACCATAACAAGAACATATATTAAGGAAATGAAAATTACTCTTGAAAAAGTTATAGCTATTCAAAAGTCCCAATTTATCTAGAATTTTAAGTTAATTTTGTGTTTGCTTTATAACAGATATGCCAAATTGGAAGATATAGACAATTGGGTCACTGTGGATTCTGTCACATCTGAAATTAGACTTGCAAAGACACCTGATTTTGAATCTAGATATGTCCAGAATGGTACATACACTGTAAAGATTTTGGCTATATCAGAAGGTAAGTTATTAAACAGACATCTTTGGGCCATCAGGTGGTGTGGAGGTTAAAGCAGCTGGCTGACTCTGTAGTTTGAATCCTGGAGCCGGCACCTTGAAAATCATGCCAGGCATCTGTGTGTGCATGCCCAAATTCCTGAGAGGAATAGTGATTGCAGCATGGAGGGATGTGATTTCTCACTTACTCCCTCTCTATCTCTGTCTCTTTCTGGTGAGCACACATGGCCTATAGCAAAAATATAGATAGACAGATATTTTTCTTTCCTTTTTTAAGTGTTGTTTTGCCTAAGGGCACATGTGCTCACTAGAGAGAGAGAGAGACCGACACAGTGAGAGAGAAAGTGGGAAATCACCCTCAAGTGTAATGGCCACGCCACAATCTCTTCTCCTCCATTCTCTTCCCGAGATCTTGGGCACACAAGCACATGTGCCTGGCATGATTCTGAAGCCAACCAGGTCTAGGACTCAGACCACATTCAGCCATGAGGGAATCCAGCAACATAACCACTACACCATCTGCTGGTCCTGACAGATATTTTTCTGGATTGTCTATATGTAGATTTAATTTTCCAGCCTTAGAAACCTAATCTCTCCAGTGGATAAACTTTCATATTTCTACTTACATCATAATTAGGAGATATTACTTCATTTGAATATAAGATATATCCAGGATAGAAAGTGTCTAAGTGGTTAATTCCTTCTCCTTACCATATTTGCACATAGAAGTCAAACTTCCTTTTTAAAAGTGTAATTAAATTATACAAACATTTTCTTTCTTATTTTAAGAATATCCTAGAAAAACCATCACCGGCACGGTCCTTATCACAGTACAAGACATCAATGACAATTGCCCCACGCTTGTGGACCCAGTGCAGAATATCTGTGATGACGTGCAGTATGTGAATGTCACTGCAAAGGACCCAGATGGACCCCAAAACAGTGGGCCTTTCAGCTTCTCGATCATTGACAAGCCTCCTGGAATGGCAGAAGAATGGAAAATAGTACACCAAGAAAGTAAGCAAAAGCATTGCACTACATTAAAGTCTACATGTTAAGCATGAGAGATACCTAAACTCTTCATAATAATAGTTTCGTTTCTTCTTATAAATTACATTTCTAATACATTTTTATAAAATGAGTTCTGAACCTATAGGCATAGCATCTTTTATACACCTATGGAGAGGAAGGAAATTATCTAAAATGTCAAAGCAGCTAAGCATTCTCCAAATAGCTTTTTTTTTTAGAGATTTTTACTATAGAGTGCATGCGTTTGCTGGAGAGACAGGGAGACAAAAAGCTAGAAATCACCCCTGCCCCAGGGGGGATGGCCACGTCACAAAATCTCTTCTCCTCCATTCTCCTCTCAGGATTTTGGGCATGCATGCATATGCACCTGGCTTGAATTTCAAGCAGTCAGGCCCGGGATTTGAAGCATGGTGAACCACATGGGAGTCCAGTGCCTTACCCACCATGCCACCTGCTGGCCCCATCTCTCCAAATAGCTTTTAAAGTAGTTTTGACTCATCAAGTACCAACCTTGTCTATGCACAGCCATTACAGTTGGTGCTTCCTAAAAATCTTGCTGTGGTAACAGTAACTCCACTGAGCACCTACCTAGTGCCCTGCACTCTGTTCTGCATCATGATATTTAATCCTTGCTTCATAATATTGCTCCCTGATTATAGCTGAGGGAACCTTGGCTTAACTGGAGTTAAGCAACTTGTTCAAATCACAAAGCTAGTATGGGTGGAGATGATTAGCACAAAGGGCCTGTTGGACCACCCTCCTCGTGCCAGTGGCCATGTTCGTTTGCCCACATCTTGGACATAGCTCTCTTATTGAGGTGAGCACGTGGGTCCTTCAGGTAGTTTTGAATGTAGAAACGTCTTTCCAGAAGGCTATTTGATTTTAGACAATTAGTGCTTGTTTGAGAAAAGTTTCAAATGTAATGCCCAAATTTTTACCTAACAGATTTATATAGATTTCTCTTATAGATTTATTATGTTATTTTAAGTCCAGCAAATGCTTCCAGTCATTTTATGAGGCTTTGGATAATGTTTGGTCCAATTTACAAATTAATCACAATTTCAAACTGCATTTTTGAATGTTGTACATTTGGCTTCCTTTTTAATGTATTTCAGTAAGTAACCTAATTAATAAGTAAAATGTCCCTGTCATTCTTATACTCAAAATTCCAATACATTTACTTTATAATTACATTGAACCTGGAATTCTCTTCAGTGTTCCAATACTGAACAAACTAGTGATATTTCAACCTAAAACCACCAGCCCAAATCCACTTTTAAGTCAAGTTACAAGGTTATCAGGCTAATTAGGCTAATTTTTCAGAAAATATTATAACTATGTAAAACAACAAATACAAATAAATTCCTGACCATACAAAAATATTAAAACTGTGCTCTTAATTACCTTAAATATTTCTATACTTAATTCTAAATCTTCTTAGGGATTATGCACTCACTTGAAGAAAACAGGTCCTTGGTTAATCTGCATTGCCTCTTCACTAAGGATGATACTCACCAACCTAATTAATTAAGATTCCTTAGGATCAAGTTTTCAGTTGGCATGAGCCATGGATGACAGACAGGATTCTTCTTATGGCAAATAAGTCACAGGCCTCCAAATCTGAAAACTTGGCAAGGACTCTCTGTACTAACTTTGACGCCTTGGTTGGATTATACCTTTATTTGACTGAAATACATAAATATGTTTTACATTGAACTTGATGAGACTCCAAGACTTATTTTATCTAAGGGTCACATAGTGTTTAGGAATATCCCATACATTCTTCTAAGCTCTTCAGTGCTATCAACAACCCTAGAAGCTCCACACTACAGTCAACATTTTACAGATAAGGAAATAGAGGCACAGAGAGTTGTACTAACTTTCCCAAGACCATAGCTAGCTAAGTGGCACCAGAGCTGGGATCCAAGCCAGTCTGTTTCTGAAGTGCCCCCTCCATGTTTATACTATCCTGCCTCTCCCAATTTACCACTGGATTTTCTATCCCAAAGATAAAGATGTTTGAGCTTGATGACTTCTTGAATTTTTGTCATAGTCTTAAGAATGTAAGACTCACAAGAATGCATATGCAGGAATATAATAACAGGAAGGCATGGGTATTAGTCTTTATATGTCTAAGAATTTAGAGAGTGAGGATTCTGTAACCCAGTCTTTCTTCCCTATGATTATATAATAAAGTAGTCAGCCAACTGTCATGATAATAAGTAGCTCCTATCTATTTTATTTATCTGGAAAAATGTTGAAGTACAGAAAACTCTAGAGACTAGTAAACCAGACGCCCTTGTGCTTGCCACCTAGAATTGAAAGACTATTCATAGGTCAGGCCTCTCTTCCAGCAAGTAGTAGAAGGGATGTCCTTTTGGGTCCCACCCAAGACCTTTCCTCCCCTGCTCATTTACCCTTTGAGAGTTCATCATGAAGTTGGTTGTTTTCTTCCACACCATATTTCTTGGCTTTCTTTCACAAGCTCATACTCCTTAAATGAATAATCAAATCTTTTCATCACTTCGCCCAAATCTTTAGGGATGATTTAATATGTACGTTTCTAGCCATGCAGATCAAATTCCATTACACTAGAAGCATAAAATGAGAATAAACTTTTATGGAAAAAGAAATAAATAACAAAACCAAAACACTAATTGGTATCTTTGTATTTTCCATCATACTCGGCATGTATTTCTTTTCAAGTTCTTTGCATCCATGAATGAGAGAGGCAGAGACAGAGACAGCAGCACCCCTAACAGTGGCTTCACACCATGTTCTACAGTCAGTTTCAGCCAGCCCTGGCTCATGGGCACACACACACCTGGCATGATCAGGGAGATCTCTGGATACAAACCTGGAACCCTTCCATGTGGGTCAGCCTTGCAGAGCATCCTGTTACTACTATGCCACCTTCTGGCCTTGATGTCCTAATGGTTTTTTAGGGGTTTGGAGTTTTTTGTTTTTGTTTTTGTTTGTTAAAGGCAGTGTCTCCCTGTTTTTAGCAGGCTGTCTTTAAACCCTCAGTCCTCTTACCTTAACCTCCCAAGTAGCTGAGACTACAGGCATATGTTACCAGGTTACCATGAGGAGCAGTTTACTTTTAAATAAATGTAATACATACTGTTTTTACTCATGTGGAAACTGGTCAGCATTTTTATTCATGTAAAAGAAAAATTTTACAATAATCATTGGTCACATTCTTAAAAAATAAAAAATCATTCATGAAAAATCTCCTATGTTATGTTCGTGTCAAAACTGTATAATCAAAATCTAGTCGTGAGGGAACAATCAGGCAAATTCAAGCTGTGGATCCTTGAGTTGATCTGAAAAACATGGTGTGTGTGTGTGTGTGTGTGTGTGATCCAAGATCCTGACAAACTGAGTTGGGGAAAGAGGATCGTGGAGTGTGTGTATGTGTGATCCAAGATCCTGACAAACTGAGCTGGGGAAAGAGGATCATGGAGAGAGAGAGTGTGTGTGTGTGGGTGTGTGTGTGTGTGTGTGTGTGTATCACCCAAGATCCTGACAAGCTGAGCTGGGGAAAGAGGATCATGGCATAACAAGATGCTGTTGCAGTGCTTCTCTTCTCCCTCTCTCACATGTGTGCACACACTATCATGAATAAAAAAGAGAAAGGCAGAGAACTATAAAGGCAATTACTACAAATGAAAAGTTTCTATCTGAGTTAGATAGTAGTAACATAGCAATAATTAATTTCTAAAGAATGCTAATGCCCCTTGGTCTTAGAAGGTATATCCCAAAAAGTTCATGCTATCTGCAACTTTTCTTGAAATAGTTTAGAAAAAGTATTTTGTTAAAGTGTATACATAGAGAGAAAATATTGTTGGAAAATATAAACAATTAGCAAAGGGTATATCAATATTCACTGTTATATTCTTTTAACTTTGCTATAGGTTTGGAACTTTTCACAATTTTTTCTTTCTGTTTTTGGAGAGGTTTGTGCTATAGGGCGCGTGTGCTCGCCAGTAAGACAGAAAGTGAGAAATCATCCCCCAGGGGGGATGGCCACACCGCAATTCCTTCTCCTCCATTCTCCTCTTGGGATCTTGGGCACACACGCACACATGCCCAGTGTGAGTTTAAGCCACCTGGTCCAGGACTCGAACTGTAGTCGACCACATGGAAGTCCAGCAACCTGGCCATTATGACAATTGCTGGTCCCCACAGTTTTGAATATAGTAGTGTTGGGCATGAAAAAGAGAGGACTAGATAAAACAAAATTGGTCCCTTATTGAGAACTATTTATTTTATTTATTAGTATTCTTTTTTTATATATACAATGAATTGCTATACATCATTTGGCATCTAAAGAGAATTTACCCAACATGAAGTACTTCTCAGACCAGTTCAGTTGAGAATACTATACACGTTATCATCACCTTGTTGCGAACTACTAAAGCCGGTGATAGGTACTGTGGGTGTTATGGTCCTTTCTCTGTTATTGTCTATGTTTTTAAATTGCTTTAATATAGTTTTGGGGGGTTTTTTTGGGGTTTTTTTTAAGAAATGGTAGAATAACGGTCTAAGAAAATGTTATTTAACTCACCTTCTGTTTATCACTGTATTCCCATATCTAGAACAGTTTCTAGCATCTAGTGAACCCTACACCTTGGTTACAATGAATCATCATGAGAACAAGGTGCCCAAATCTGGTTCTTTGCTATTTACAATGAATAATTGGAATCTATAGACAAATTTTCATGAGTGCATAGTGTGAATTCAATGACCAATTGAAAGAATAAAACTTGTAACTGGAGCTAAGTGTTACTGGCTGTTAAGGAACTTCCTGTAATGTCATGTCTCCCTTTCCTTGATAACCAACATTTTTTCACTTCCTCTGCCTCCTACCTTGGTAGGTACCAGTGTGCTACTGCAACAAAGAGAACGAAAGCCTGGGAGAAGTGAGATTCAGTTCCTGATTTCCGACAGTCAAGGCTACAGTTGCCCTGAAAAGCAGATCCTTAAACTCACAGTTTGTAAGTGTCTGGATGGCAGTGGCTGTGTGGAAGCACTGCGTGACTCCTATGTTGGCCTGGGACCCGCTGCGATTGCGCTAATGATTTTGGCTCTTCTGCTCTTGCTACGTAAGTCTTTTATTTATTTTATTGAATTTCTTCCATGAGAGTTTTTGAAAGAGAAAAAAAGATAACTCCCAACAGAGTCCTCATACCATAATCCATCCCCAGCCTCAGCTAGTCAGGATGATGAGCATGCACACTTGCACCTGGTGTTTTGTTTTTTTGTTTGTTTGTTTATTTTTGTTTGGTTGGTTGGTTGTCTTTTTGTTTGTTTGTTTGTTTGAGAAGTTTTTGCTATCTTGTTGGTGTCTCTGTTCTGCTAAACTGCACAATGGCACTACTTAGTTTTTATTTATCACTATTTTTTAACTTGCTACAGTACACATGAATTCACGAGAGAGAGAGGGGTAGAGATAGAAACAAAAAAGCGACAGAGAGAGAGAAACAGAAAGAGAGAAAGTGAGAAACCAGCTGTCAGGTCTAGGACTCGAACCCTGGTCGGCCATGTGGGAGTCCAGAGCCCTTAACCACCATGCCACCTGCCAGCCCCCTTTTTTTTTTTTTAAAGAATTATTTTATTTAATTTTATTTATTATTATTATCATTAAAGGCATAATATTGTCTTACAGTGTCTGATACACAGCAGACTCTCAGAAAAGATGTGTGGCTTGACTTTGAGTTGTAGATACAAGGTAATTTTACAAACTCAGCTTAGTCCAATCGATTCTTTTTTTTTTAAATTTAACTTTATTTCTTTCTTTATTTAAATTTGACCAGAGAGGGACGGAATGAGAGAGAGAGGGAAAATGAGAAAGCAAGCCACCAGGTCCGGTACTTGAACCATGGTCGACCATGTGGGAATCCAGCGCCCTAAATCACCACACCACTGGTCAGCCCCAAGTCTAATTGATTCTTGCTCTGCACAATCCATTCCTCAGAGCTCTGCCTCCCCAGTACCCACTGCTTGGCCTGCCTCTTCACCAGCGCCAACAGTAGCCAGACCACTGAGTATGTCTGTGCTCCTGAAAATGACAAGACGTTCTTGCCAGTCCAGCCTTCCCTGCAGCCGGGGTCGGGGGAATGAATGCCTTTCCACTTGACTGGCAGAGAACCACCTCCAAGGCAGCCTAGGCTATTTCTTTTTCCTTCTTTCTCTTTAAATATTTTTTTTTTTAATTCATCACAGGGCATGTATGCTCACCAGAGAGAGAGAGAGTTTTCACACAGAGAGAGAGAAAAAGTGAGAAGGCAAGCCACCAAGTTCAGGACTAGAACTCCCTTCGACCACATGGGAGACCAGCACCTTAACCACCATGGCATCTGCTGACCCCAAGCCTAGGCTACTTCAGTGCTAGAGGAGAAGCCTCTACAGGAACTGGGACCCTATCTTTTACCCAGGGATTCTTTGCATTACATTTTCATCACCTATTCTTGGTGGTACTTGGCACATGACAGACACTTGAGTATTTGCTGAATTTGCTGAAATTACTGAATTGCTGCTGGCTGATGTCAATTTTTTTTTTTTAAGAGAGATATGTTTTACTATAAGGTGATTGTACTCACCAGAGAGACAGAGAGAGACAGAGAGGCAGAGAGTGAGAAATCACCCTTCAGGAGGATGGCCACGCCACAATCCCTTCTCCTCCATTCTCCTCTTGGGATTTTGGGCATGCATGCACATGCACCTGGCATGAGTATTAAGCTCCTGGGTCCGGGATTTAAACCTCAGTCGACTACATGGCTGTCCAGCAACATAACCATTACGCCACCTGCCAGTCCCCTGATGTCAATCATGTTAATCACAATTGCTATATTTCCTGTGCTGTCAACTCTTTTATGTAAAACGGAATCTAGAGCTGCTCAATGTATCATTGGCAGCTGCTAAATGAGAGTGGTAATGAAAACTAATTTGGAGTGGACTGTTTACCACGTGGACTGTTTACCACGTCCGCTAGGGGCTAGCTTTAGTCTTTGTTTCCTCATAGAGGTAGAATCAAATTCAAAGGGGAGGCAAATTATATTGAATTCTAGATGAAATTTTGTATGTATTCTAAGGGTTTTTCATGTAGCATCATTTGAGAACATAGAAGTCAGGTAGTCAAAAGGTTAATTGACACAATGGAAAATCATGCCTTGTGCAAAGTGTCACTCTAGGGTGAAGTATTTTAGCAGATCTCTGTATTCTAAAATATTTGAATATATTAACATTTTTCTGCCTCCAGGAGCTTTTGCTTTTTTCAATACATTTTTGGGGGACCATGATTTTTTTTTTTTTGTCTTTAAATATATCTGATCATTTGGATACTTCTAATTCAGTGATATTCTATTCAGTAATCATAGATAGCCTCTTTGTGATGAATACAACCTTTGACTCTATAAGACTTTCTCCATTCTGCCTTCTATCTTTGGCATAACTCATAAAACAAGCTTAGTAGGGTTGATTCAGGGTGAAGAGAAGGAAAATTGTTTAAAAAAATAAAAATAGGACTATAAATAACTGAACACAGAATTTCACGATTAACCTTTATTCAATTTCTCTTCTGTCTAGTTGTACCACTCTTACTGCTGTTTTGCCAGTGTGGAGAGGGTGCCAAAGGCTTCACGCCCATCCCTGGCACTATAGAGATGCTGCATCCTTGGAATAATGAAGGGGCACCTCCTGAAGACAAGGTCAGTCCATCAGATATCAATACAGTTTGTCTCTCCTGAGTTTAAAGGAGAGACAAAGGCCTTGGGAGGCATTTCTAACATCTTTGGTTATGAGGGAGTAAAGTGGTCATTACAGATTTTATTCACATGCCTTTGTGAAATAAATGGTTTAAATGACAACATATTTCATATTTGTTGCCAGGGCAAAGTTGAGATGGTTTTATTTCACCATGTAAAGCAAGGGTCAGGGAGAGCAAAAGTATACAGGAATTTAGGATAGAAATTTTTGTTCCAGTATTCAATTATTTTTCACTACCAAGAACTTCTCTATTTCCATTCCCCTCAGTACATAGGTTGGCAGAGATAAACCCACAATGTCCGTGACACAACCATTATGTTGCAGATCCCCATTTCTAACCACTTACTAGCCATCTCCCCTGTCTTTATTGAATCTTTACCTCAAGTCTGTCATCACCACCTGCCATGAGCACCCTTTATAGTAGGATATGCTTTCAAGTGGTAGAGCACTCACAGTAACAGTGACTTGAACATAAACATGACAGTCCAGGGTCAGCATGAAGATTCCTCCACAACATGGCCCCAGGCACCTTGTTTCTCCTCCATGAATGAGTTCCATTTTCTTTTTTCTTTTTTTTTTAATGGTCAGGGAGTATGAGAACTTGCCAGAGAGAGTATCTCTGAGAGGTGAAGCAAGAGAAAGAGAGGAAAACGCCCCTCTATGAAGCATGGTTATGCCACAATCTTTTTTCCTCCACATTTGCATAACATTGGGCCAGGGTTTGAGCTTCCGTTGGCCACATGGGATCCAGCTTCCTTAACCACTAGGCTACAGGGCTGGCCCTCCATTCTCATGCTGACCTCATGTTCTAGATACTAGCTACTATCCCCACATCCCAGTTCACAGATGAGAGAAAGTGAAGGACTGCTCTTTAAACACACTTCCCAGAAGCTACATACACCATGTCTGCTTAATTCACATTGACCACAGGCCAGTGGCTCTACATTAAAGTATTGGGTAGTCAGAAAAGTCATGATGCATTTTTGCATAGAAAAATACATCATGACTTTTCCTACTACCCAGTATAAAGGCTTGAAAATATAATATTTATTCTGATGATCGATGTGTTCAGCTGAAAGTAAAATGAAGGGATCTTATACCCATAGAAAAAGCATCACTCTAGAGGAAAGTAGAAATGGCATTGATGCCAGTAGAATAAATGAACCAACACTGTATGTGAAAGTTTGGGTATTGGGTTCTCTTTGGGTTATAATCAGCTATGAAACAAGGCACAATGGAGATCCTCAAAGGACTCAAATCAAAGCCGTTCAACCCAAAATATATTTCTATATTTGTCTCTGTGGAAATAGCTTACCTTTTTCTCCATAACTCACTTAGCTCAGACCCTTCTGCCCACTATACTCATCCTCCATCCTTCTACTCAGTTCTCAACTGTTTCTGCCCTCACAGGTGGTACCACCTCTTCTGGCCGCAGACCATGGGGAGAGCCTAGTAGTAAGAAATGGAATAGGAGGCGTAGGAGGTGCGATGACCAAGGAAACCACCATGAGAGGAAGTAGTTCTGCCTCCTTTACCAAAGTGCAGCATGATATGTCTGAGATGGACGGAAGATGGGAGGAACACAGAAGCCTTCTGTCTGGTGGGGCTACCCAGGTGACAGCCACAGCAGGAGCCATCACGGGCACTGAAGCCATTCGGACCACAAAAGCCACAGGGGCTTCCAGGAACATGGCTGGAGCTCAAGTAGCAGGTGTTGCCGTGAATGAAGACTTCTTAAGAAACCACTTAACTGATGTAAGGATTAGATTTTGTGTATGAAAAAATGTATGAGGGGACATCAAAAAGTTTGTGGAAAAAATGAAATTAAAATATGAGTTTACTTTGGGGAACCAGCAAATGGTGTAATGGTTACGTTGCTGGACTCCCACAGAGACGACCGTGGTTGTCCCAGGCTAGGTGACTCAAACTCACACCAGGTGCGTGTGCATGCATCATATGCCCAAGGTCCCAAGAGGAGAATGGAGAAAGGGGTGATTTCTCACTTTCTGTCTCTCTGTCCCTCGTCTGTCTTTCCAGCAAGCACACATACCCTATAGCCAAAAAAAGAAAAGAAACCTCTCTTTAAAAAAAGTGAATGTGTGTGTGTGTGTGTGTGTGTGTGTGTATGAGTTTACTGTGATGTAAAAATTTTTTGAAATATATGCATAGTTTTTTCATAATATACACTTTCTATGAACTTTTTGGAAGACCCTTGTACATACATATGATGTTGTTAGAATAATCATTGCCTTGGGTCTAAATTAGATTTGGGCTGGGGGAGTTGTTTTGTTTTGTTTTGTTTTGTTTTAGAAAATGCTTATAGGTGGGACCAGCAGTTAGCGTAATAGCTAAGTTGCTGAACTCCCATGTAGTCGATTGCGGTTAGAGCCCCAGAGCCAGTGACTTAAATTCACGCCGGGCACGTGTGCATGCATGCCCAAGATCCCTAGAGGAGAATGGAGGAGAAGGAATTGCGGCGTGGCCATCCCCCCTCAGTGGGAGATTTCTCACTTTCTGTATCTCTGTCTCTCTCTTTCTGGCGAGCACACATGCCCTATAGCCAAAAAAAAAAAAAAAGAAAGAAAGAAAAGAAAAGAAAAGAAAATGCTTATAGGTTGGGACCAGTAGATGGCATAATGTTACTCCTCTGGACCCCTACATGGCAGACCATGGTTTGAGTCCCAGACCGGAGGCTTGACACTCATGCCAAGCACGTGTGTGTGTGCATGCCCAAGATCACAGGAAGAGAACAGAGGAGAAGGGATTGTGGTGTGGCCATGCCCCCGGGGAATGATTTTTTGCTTTCTATCTGTCTCTGCAGCAAGTGCATGTTCCCTATAGTAAAAATCTCTAAAAAGAAAATGCTTATAGGCAATAAGGAAAGAAACATGACCCACTGAAGCCATAAGTGCATTATTTAAAGAGATCAATAAAATTGTTATACCTTTTAAATAGATTAACTCGTATATAAAGTTAGTATCAGAAGTGAAATAAAGAACATTACTACAGATCCTATAGACATAGCAAGGATAATTTTTTTTAAGAAAAGTGGGACTGGGTGCTTTTCTTGAGGAAAGAACTTCAGAGACTTCAGTGTCCTTGTGAGAGTGGGCAGAGCTGGAGTGATTGGCATCTTAAGGGCACTTTAGAGGAAGGAGAGGAGGAGCTTCCATTGAGGAAGGCGATTTATTTCTGTCCCCGTCTTCACTGGCAAATGACTGGCTTGTTTTCCCACTTTCTGCTCCTTTCCACCCTCCTTTCTTTCATACCATTCTTCAGCCACCCCTAAGTATTAGTTGGACAGAGATATAGTTAGTGTCAAAGAAAAATCCCTTTTCTGTCTCGCTGCTAAATTCAGTTCTGCCACCCTGTTGATTTTATTTTGGAACATTTCCCTCTGCACTCGAATCCTGCCTGCTGGAATCAATATTGATTGTATGTGTATGTACTAACTTTCGACTTTGAAATAATTTTGAAGTTACCAAGAAATGTTTAAAAATAGTAGAAAATCTGAACTCCTGTATACTGTCTACCCAAATTACCCAATTATTAACTTTTTGTCATATTTGCTATTTGCTTTTCTATTCTGCTCCTCTCCCTCTCTATCTCTCTCTCACACATACACACACATCCACTCACATTCTCTTATATTGTCTTACCACAGTCACTAGATTTAGAAATTTAACATTGATGCAATCCATATTTCAATTTACCCAGTTATCACAATGGCTATAGCAATTAATTGTCTTTCTTGCTCAGGATCCAATTCAAGATCTTGCATTTTATTTAGTTATCATGACACTTTCATCTTCTTTAATCTGAAAGTCTCCTCAGCCTTTCTTAGTTTAAAGATACTATTTAAAGAATATGGGTCAGTCATGCTGTAAGATATATCTCAATTTGTGTTTCTGTGATGTTTCAGTGATTCAGGTTATGCGGTTTAACAGGTATGGAGAGTCTCGTTGTTAAATGAATTTGTGTTGTTAATTAATCATCTCTGTTTTGATTTTTGTTTTAGAAAGTGGCCTCTTACACCGATGCAGATGACATTCACACAGCCAAAGATTGCCTTCTGGTTTATTCTCAGGAAGAAACTGAATCTCTACATGGCTCCATTGGCTGCTGCAGTTTTATTGAAGGAGAGCTAGATGATCGCTTCTTAGATGATTTGGGACTTAAATTCAAGACACTAGCTGAAGTCTGCTTGGGCAGGAAAATAGATATGGATGTGGAAATGGAGCAGAGGCAAAAACCTGTCACAGAAACAAGAATGAACACAGCTTCACGTTCAGCCTATGAACAAACTATGGTTAATTCAGCGAATACCTACTCCTCTGGTGGTAGCTTTCAAGTTTCAAAACCTTTGCATGAAGCAAGTGCAGAGAAAGTAAGTCAGGAAATAGTCACTGAAAGTTCTGTGTCTTCTAGGCAAAAGGCTACACTTGTTCCTGATCCACTGGCTTCCGGTAATATTATTGTGACAGAAACTTCCTATGCTACAGGCTCCACTATGCCCCCATGCACTGTGACGCTGGGTCCTAGACAGCCACAGAGCCTTATTGTAACCGAGAGGGTGTACGCCCCAGCCTCTTCTTTGGCAGATCAGCATTATAGTAATGAAGGCAATGTCGTGGTTACTGAGAGAGTCATACAGCCTAGTGGAGGCACACCTACTCCTCTGGAAACCATGCAGCATTTGCAAGATGCACAGTACGTTATGGTGAGGGAGAGAGAAAGCATCCTCGCCCCCAGCTCAGGTGTGCAGCCTGTGCTGACCGTGCCCAATGTAGCAGTAGGACAGAACGTGACGGTGACAGAAAGAGTGCTAGCACCTGCTGCCACCCTGCAATCCGCTGACACCTCCCTGAAGGCTAGAAACACCAGAGTCCTTGGCCCTCTGACAAATTTTGGTTTAGAGGAATCCAGTCTTGCTAATTCTAGCATAACCACATCTTCCACCAGAGTCACCAAGCATAGCACTATACAGCACTCTTACTCCTAAACAGCAGTGACCGATTTCATGTTTTCTATGTACTTGGCTTTTAAAGAGCCTTACAGACCATGCAGAGACATACTGAACTTAACATTTTTCTCAGTCACTGACATGCAAAGGACCTCACTTTGTCTGCTTCCAGAATCTATTTCCAAATGCTCCAAGACTTACTGAAAACATAGGGATGATACTGTTTCCTGAGTGCCTTGCAGGTGAGTTATCCAAACAGTATTCACAAAATGAGATATTAGGTCATTGGGAAAGTCATGACTATGTTTTTCTATGCAAAAAAATGCATCATGACTTTCCCAACGACCAAGTAAATAGAAAGTAAGCCTGTCTTTTGAGAATTTACCAAATTGATGTAGACTATCCAGTTCATCGATCGTTCATAGAGCACCCAGGGACATTGATTGGGTCTCTTTGCATCCTATAGTAACATTTATGTTCTTATTCTGTACTTTACTGTACCTCGCAGATTATCAACTCATTTATCCAAAGATACACACACAGCGTAAGCAACTAGTTATGCTGTTGGTTTTCTTTAAAACTGGAAGCCTTTTCATCTGTGCTTGATTTATTCCATTTTAAAACACCAACATGGTGGGGGTCAATAGATGGCGTAGTGGTTATATCACTAGACTCCCACATGGCCCAACAGGGTTTGAGTCCTGGACCCAATGGCTTGAACCTCACTTTAGGCACATGTGTGTGTGTGCCCAAGATCCCAAAAGGAAAATGGAGGAGAAGAAATTGTGGCCTGGCCATCCCTGCTGGGGGGTGATTTCTCATTTTCCCTCTCACTATCTCTGTCTATCTGGCAAATGCATATGCCTTAAGGCAAAAACCTCTACAAAAGGAAAAACAAAAGAGGAAGGACCAGCAGATGGCATAATGGTTACATCACTAGACTCCTACAACTTAGTCAATCACATTCACAGACCTAGTGGCTTAAAACTCACATGTGCTCGAGTACCCAAAATCCCAAGAGGAAAATGGAGAAGGGATTTGGTATAGCCATCCCCCTAGGGGGTGACTTCTCACTTTCTGTCTCTCTCTCTGGGGAGCACATGTGCCCTATAGCAAAAATCTCTCTAAAAAGAAAAGAAAATGCTGACATGATAATTGACACATTGAATGTTTCTGAGCATATGACCGTGTATATGTGTGGGTGTGTGTGTGTGAACACGTGCATATGTGAGATGGTCTTAAAAATAGCATTATACCTTCTTACTGCTCACCAGTAACGAAAATTTTGAAAACTTCAAATTCAATTGAATAATCCAGGACAAAATTCATAAATACAAAATAATTTTGCTTTTCTTTTTTTTTTAAAGAATTATTTATTTGATTTGATTTATTATCATCATTTCTTCAATTTGACCAGAGACAGAGAGAGGGAAAGTGAGAAAGCAAGCCACCTGGTTCAGGACTTGAACTGTGGTCAACTATGCGGGAGTCCAGCACCTCAACCTCCACACCAACTGCTTTGCTTTTCATCTTAATAATATGCTGTAGAGAAGAAAAAAAAAAAAAACCTCAGGATACATTCTCTTCTAAGCAGCTAAACTTTAGTGCAGCTAAATTAACCAACTATTCTCAACTGTGATAGAAACCACACCCATTTCATATCTTAAGTGCCTAGCAGGGGTGCCAAATAAATATTTGTGGAACTAACCTGAATTTTACAGACCACTCTCTTATCTACGATTGCCAAAAATACTAAATGACCCAATGTTTTTATAATTATGAGTTTGAAAATAATTTCTTAATTTTATGTCTCAGCTGTTGGTAATAATTAGGTATAGGAGTAAATATTATAATACCTCAAAAAATTGACCTGACTTTGCACAACATCCTTGCCTTTCATTTTTCAAAACTTATTTGGGTTATTTGGCTCCTAAATACATTATATTTCATTGTTCCTAGAAATAATAATGTTTCAAAATACATGTGCATATTGGTAATAATTTTTTAAAAGACTGATTTCTTGACTTTCAAGATATTTTTCTAGAAAAATGAAGTTTTAATTTACTTTTTTAGACATGTTTTAAAATATTATTGACTTGAATTGTGTTATGCAAAAGACATACAATGTATCCCCACTAACTATGTACAGATAAGGGCAAATATTTTTAGAAATGACAAGTCTGTGACTAAGATGGAGTTCCCTTTTCTTTCATAATCTAGAATTTTCACTCTCCATTTAATAGCTGTTGTGTGTTTGTTTGTTTGTTTTTAAATACAGACTGAGTTATATTTTCCCAAACATGCAACAGAAATGTGACTACTATGTGGAATGTAATTCTGACCTATATATTCGGGACAAATGTAGTCTTAAACTTCCTCCTTGGGCAGACTTGAAAACCTGTCTCTTGTATATAACATAATACATTTTCTAAATAGTTCTCTTTGTTCTTGAAGAGGTGATTCACATTAGTTTTTAACATTTATTCCTTGGGAAATTATATTTGTGTGTGTTTCATCATAAAATATTTAAATAAAAAGACTACCTTTAGAATGACCTTTTAGAATGATCTTTTTAATACTCTATCGTATTTACAAGGAATAGAGCTTGGTTAGTAGAAAGAAAGCACACCAAAGGCAGATGTTTCCTGGACTTCGTTAAATATTTTATTAGATCTGCTTAGTAGCAGCTAAGCTTGCCTCTGGGAGAGCATTGTTTCTCTTCCTAACTTGGACTATAAAAGGACTTCAAAAAGTTCATGGAAAAGTGAAGCTAAAGGGTGAGTTTATTTTGACACAAAACATTTTTGAAGGCCATGCATACTGTTTCATAATAAGTATTTTGCATTAATTTTTGTTGGAATCGAAAGAATTCAATTGTCTGAAAATACTGATGTTCTTGAGGATCTTGCAGTATACAGAACTCTTCAACTAAACTCCAGAAGCATGATGCTCTTATCCTTTAGAACTCTTTCTAAGGATTGTTTTTTCTTTTCCTTACTTCTTTTGTGGCTCCTACGTATATAGCACAGTAGCCTTCTCCAGTTTTCTTTCATATATCAAATATGTCAATACAAGTTATTCTTTCTCTCTTCTCTTCCAATTTAAAAACTATAGAATGAAATCAAAGACCTTGAAGTAAAATACTGATATTCTACGTTATAACTTCTGTTATAGTTTTTGTGTGATAGTTCACTTTAAAATTACAATATAAGATGTGTGATGAGAGCCACCTGGTGGTTGAGGTGGCTGAATCCCCCATACCCCACTGCTCAGCGAGTCCTGAACCTGGCAGCTGGAAAGAAATGGTGGACGTGTGTGTGTGTGTGTGTGTGTGTGTGTGTGTGTGTGTGTGCGCGCACCCAAAACCCTACAAGAAAAGGGATTGTAGTGTGGCCATTCTCTCTCTCTCTCTCTCTCTCTCTCTCTCTCTTTCTCTCTCTCTCTCTCTTCCTCGTGCACATGCTCTATAACAATTTTTTTTTAATTTTAAAAATAAGGAAGTGTAACGAACACATATACAAGCTGATTGTAATCTGCCCCCTAGGAGAGATTAGCATTGAAGAATTCTAATCAGAAATCAACACCATATGATTGGTTGCTTAGCCCTTCAAGTATCATTATCAAAATTCACATAAAACATTTGCTAATTAAGGGATCATAGAAATAGTATTGGTCCTTCCAAAAAGTCATGACGTATGTTTCTACGGGTTTTTTTGATGCAAAAATACATCATGACTTTTCCATGACCCACTATTTCCTTGGCAAGATGAGTGTTTTGAGGACTGGGAATTGGTTAGTCCCACTGCACTTCCAAGAGCAAAGCATGAGACTATGAGGCCTGGTAGTCTAATATCCACTGATGCGCTGAGGCAAGTCGCGTGAATCTTCTGTCCCTCCACTTCATGGAGAATCTTGTCATCTTACTACCTGTAATGCTGGGTCATCTTGTCATCTACACATGATTCCATCTCCCTCAGGTTAGACCCTTCCATTGGAGCAGAGAGTGGTAAAGTCCAGGATTACAAAATCAGGTTGTTAATTATTTTTGTATTTATCTACTAATAAACATTTATGCCTTTTGTGGAGTTGGTTTAATGCTTACTTGCTTTGTAATAGAACGTGGTTATAGCCCCATCTCTAATTAGCAGAAAATATTCATATTTTTTAAATAATAAGTTGTCATTTGCTTAAAGATTAAATTGGCTTAGGAAAGTGGGCAACAATATTTTGTTTTTGTTTTTAGGTTTTTGCCACAAGGGACTGTGTGCTTGCCAGGAAGAGAGATAGAGAAAGTGGCAATTCACCCCCCAGGGGGATAGTCACACTGCAATCCAGTTTCCTCAGGATTTTGCAGTTGCACACACACTCCCAGTATGATTTTCAAGCCGCCAGATCCTAGACTCAAACTAGTTGGCCATGTGAGAATTCAGTGCTTTAACTACCATGCCACCTGCTGGGTCCTGACAACAATGTTTATTTTATTAAATTTATTTTCTAAGGAGATATTCTGCTTGGTTTTAATCCTTTCTTTATTTCACTATAATTTCCTCACTTTTAAAATATTTATCAAAATATTTAATTATGTGTACTTTACTGGGAAAAGACAAAATAAAGAAGACAAAGCAAAGTGTATTTTATATGTATTTTCCCATTGCTTCATGTGTATTCTTGCTTCCTGTCCCTATCCTCACTGGGTATTAAGATAGTCAATGGCAAGAATAGGCCATTTTTTATCTTTGTCATCTTATGTCACTCACCAAAAAAAAAAAAAAAAAACCAGCCAATAAATTGAATCATTGGAAGATTAAATAAATGGTCAATCATAGAGGCCCAGCAGATGGTGTGAAGGTAAAGAGGCTGGGTCTCACATAGTCAAGTTCAAGATTCCTGAACATGGCAGCTTGAAAATTACACCAGGCACGTATGCATGGAAGAGAATAGATTTTGGCCTGGCCATCCCCGCTGGGGGTGATTTCTCACTTTCTCTTCTGGTAAGCTATATAGGGAGGGAAAAAAAAGTCATAAGAAGAATGATGAATGGAGTTGGGAGGATTTCACTGGTTTAGAAGAGGAAGATCTTGTGATACCTTTAATATAATGTGAATTTGATACATCCAGGAACCTCCAAAATCCAACAGAATTTTCAGTGGATTTCCTAAACTTGTGCATGATCCATCCCAAATTAGTTGTCCCTAGAAAGTAAGAATTAATAACTCAAGAGTTGAGGGGTTCTGACATAAAGAAAACTAGAGATTTTAGTGCATAATGGGAACTATAAGGGGATCTTTTTGAAGTATATGAAGGAGCCAGCAGGTGGCATAGTGGTTAAGACACTTGACTCACATGACCAACTGCAGTTCAAGTCCTGGACTTGGTGTCTTGAAACACACCAGGCACGTGTGCATGCATGCCCCAAATCCCACAAGAAGAATAGATTTGAAATTGAGGTGGGGTCATACCCTCTGGGGGTTGATTTCTCACTTTCTCTCTGTCTCTCCAGTGAGCACACTCTGTCACTCTGTCTCTGCGGTGAACACACACACCCTATAAAAAGAAAAGAAAAAAAAGTACATGGAGGGACCAGCAGTTGGCATAATGGCTATGTCGCTGGACTCCCATGGAGTCAACTGCAGTTTGAGTCCCAGACCCAGTGGCTTAAACTCACACCAGGCGCATGTACATGCGTGCCCAAGATCCCGAGAGGAGAATGGAGGAGAAGGGA